AATATAAAGGTAAGTTGGTGATGAAAGTGTCTTTAGCTGTGGCGAGTGGTGTGTGTGTGTGTGTGTGTGTGTGTGTGTGTGTGTGTGTGTGCGTGTGTGCGTGTGTGTGTGTGTGCGTGTGTGCGTGTGTGTGTGTGTGTGTGTGTGTGTGTGTGTGTGTGTGTGTGTGTGTGTGTGTGTGTGTGTGTGGGAGGGGGAATTGAAATCTGCCTCTGAAGAACTCGGCTCAAATGAATGAACTTGTAAGCAACAACAGTTGCCCTGCTAAATGTCACATGTTGACCGTTATCGAACGCTCCAGGATTACTCAACTCCCAATGGCTTCATCACTCGGGATCTAATCAATGTGCACTTTCCTTTGGATTGTGTGTTGGGAACAAGAAAACACTCTGTAATCCAGGATGCCTCTAGCATGCAAATACTACAGTCTCTTGTCACATCCTGATTATTTGGGTGCAAAAAAAAATACAATTTTAAATTCTAACATTTGCTTGAATTTCCTTGGGAATGGTCAGAATACCCTTAACTTGCTATATGGTTGTGGAACTTACTTCTGTAGGATACTTGCAAACCTGATATTTTTTAAACAGTGTTTTTTACATGCTGGGTAAATTAATTGATCAAAATCATAAAAAATTACAGTAATATTAACTGTTTTTTTTAGATTGCCAGAATCTCTGCTGAGGATTTACTCCGTGGGCTTCTGTTCTCCACGTTTTATTGTAAACTGAGGTAATATGCTGCATGCACTCAGATGCATTAAGTAAACCAGTTGGTTGAGATTACAGCAACATAATCTAATAAAACAACCCTTCTTCATGATGTATTCTTTTAGGCCTTAAGTGTTCATTTATTGTCCTTTCATATTAAAGCTTCTATTCAAAAACCTTTCAGAATAATACTATTAAGAGCTGCACAAGTGATAGCTTTCAAAATAAAAGCTGATCCAACATCTTTCTGGAACAGTTTCAGAGTAAGTGAATGTATAAGCTTTATTAAGGAAGGATTTATTGCTCTGTTAGATTAGGCTACATTAGTTCTCTCTTTGTGTCTAATAAACTGGCGTTTTAGAACACGTTTGCTCACACAGAAAATATTATTTAAAATGCAAAATGTGAAATTTGTGTCTTTTAAGGTGTAATAATTCAGCTTTCTAGTCCCACAAATGTTGCGCCCTCTTCATCTTGGACGAGTTAAGGCTTAAACCTGTTTTACATATTGGGTTTGGATAAAGAAAAATAATATTTGTGGAAATAAACATTTGATGGGTTTTGTAAATGATGTTATTATTGTTATTTATGAACGACGGGGATATTACAAACTTAAACAGTAGGTGCTGCATAAACACCAATTTTTTATGCATTTATAATCTTAACTGAAATTCTAGAGATAATTTGTTCTTTGGCTAAGTTTTTTCCATTAAACAGAAGCTGAGCTGCAGAGTATTAACTTTAATTTCGATATTAGTGTTAACAGTAGTTTGCAAAAGGACTTGTTAATTTTAGATGAAATTATGATGAAACTGTGAAGTTCATGAAACAATATATCTCAATTTAAATATGCATCACACTGTGTGTTGCAGGAAAAACTTGCAGCTTCCAAAATTGTAGTCAGCTAATGTTTGGTGCGGTAAATGCAACTTGATTTTTTTTTTATCTTAAGAGGATCTCTTTTAAACCTCAGTTTAGGTTTGGTGATTTATTATTTCGGTGTCATTTTTTCCTATCAGCTATTTGTCATCAGCCATGATTAGTATGCACAGTAGACTGCTGATCTGCATTGTGAACAAGCAGGGGATGTTTAAGCAAGAAAAATAATATTAAAAAGCAACTTCTCTTTCCCTGCAGCTAAAACCAAGCTGTATGGGGGGGATATTACAAAGTGAGCTGCAGTGATGAACATTTCCTCCTGTTTCATGTTTAACCCTGCTCATTTCCCACAGTAAGAACTCCGGAAACACACAAGTGTGCACAGCAGCTTGGGGGGAAGATGACTGATGGCTTGTTGTCATGATGTTTGGGATTCTGCAGACTGCAAGCCTCTCAGCTCGCTGAAGCTGTGCAGAACTACAAACACATACAGGCTATTGTTAGCAGAAGGTACTGCTTCCTTTTCACCCTGTTGAGCCTGTGTACTCTGCTGCTGTCTGTAATGTCCCTGGCCATTTGCAGATTGGATTTGTGACGACGGCTCATGCTCTGAAACAGATTTCATATCATTCGACAATGAGTCAAAGACAATTATTAGAATGTTCATGCTGTGAGTGGATTAATCTGTTTGTTTCTTTCATTTTCTCCGTGGATCGCATGTGTGGGCTGCACCAAGCTCAACCTTTTGTTTTACATCAATTTGTCAAAGAAAATGTCAATATTTGAAAAAAAGCTGACATGGCCCATCAATCACACCCTTCAATCAGTCAATGTGCTTCTCTCCTGTCTTCTCTGACCCTATCTCTTCATTTCACTGTGCCTCTTTGTCCCTCTGCTTTATTACAGCTCCATCACAATGTCTGATGAGCCTTCGCTCCATAAACCTGCATTATCCGCTGTCATCCTCCCCTCTTTGGAACGACATCAGCAGCAGTTACCTGTCTGGCAGGTGTCTGTCATCAGTGGTCATGCTGAAGCTTGTGAGGGTCACACATCGAGGTTGGACAAGGCCTGACCAGAATGGGGGTGGGGGGTGGGGGGGTCTTGTGTCAACAACAGAATGAAGGGTCAAATCAAGCTGGAGAGGCAATCTATGCTGATCCCAGGACCTTGACTTCCTATTGACACACATCAGAGCATGGAGGCAAAACAAATTAGCATCTGTCAATATTTGGTCCCTCCTGCAGCATCCTGACACAGCCACCCAGAGCTGCCGTGTTTACCCTCTACTTGCTGTCAGAGCAACCAAAAACACCACAATCCACATGAGAGATGACTCTGGGAGTCCAAACAAGAAGTTTCATGGTACTGACATTAGATTGGTTCAGAGAGTCTCCAGTTTATTTAATTGTTTTTGTAGACAAACAATGAAATTTTCATTTAGGGAATCTACGTCATCAGTGATGTTCATATGTTTGTTTAATCTATAAAGCATTTTAAATTAACATACTTAGAAATTTACAATTTTTATATGTAAACTAGAATTTGTCCAATTAAATTTTTTTATTTATTTTAGACAAAAAAAAGATATGTTTAACTTAATTTATGTACTTTTAAAAACATCTTTCAAACATCCAAGCAAGTGCACAAACAGGCCTTTTGATAAAATAAAACATCATCATCATCATTATTATTATTATTATTATTATTATTATTATTATTGTTGTTATTATTCTTATTCTTATTCTTATTCTTATTATTATTATTTGGGGACTAAAATTTAAGGGACAGTAATATCTTATGAGCAAGTACCTTCAACAAAACAGCTGTTGAAAAATCCCTTTGCTCACTAAAGGGTTAAATCAGGCTACTGCATTTTTTTATTCATTTGCAAGTAGAAAAAATAAAAACGGGATTGCTAACACCTGTTTTTTATTCCCCCTTCTTTCTGCAGCCTCCTCTTCCCCCTCCTCACTCTGCTGAAAGCCATTACAGAAATACAATTTCTAATACCTCCGCACAGGTCTTCGATCGACTGCAAACAAATTTATATTCAGGCGGTAAACAGAAAGCTGCAGAGATTTATTTATTGAGTGTGGAGGAGAGAAACAAGCTAGCGCGTGAACCCTGAGTAACCTCCGAGCTGACATGAAGATGGATCCGTGCACCATGCAAATGCATGGAGAGAAGGGATATATTGCATTCAGTCATTCAGCACATCGCTGCCTGTAGAATCCCATTAACTCCCACAGCTGGGACCATATTTCTGTGTTGTACCAATGCAGTTAGGAGTTGTTCATTATGCTGAATAATTTTGTAAATACTACAAACTTAAAAGACTTTAAAATATTATAAAATATGATTGAAATAAAGCGATGTTTGGTCACCTTAGATTTGGGCGATTGTCCAATCTTGAAGGAAGGAACAAGATGATTAAAAGTAGGACTTATTATTATTATTATTATTATTATTATTATTATTATTATTATTATTATTATTATACTATTAATAGGTTAATAAAAGCATCACTTTTGAAATTACAAATTTATATGAAATGTTCAAACATTGTTGAAAAGAGATGAAAAAAAAACAATCATTATCGATAGAGCATCAGAATAAGTTGTGATTGTAATTGTTGATTTTTTTTCTTTTTAAATTCCCATAAGACTGAAACAGACATACAAGGTTAAATACATCTTATATTCTTAAAAATCTGATTTTGTTTTTAAAAAATTTAAAATAACGGTGCTGCTTTAAATTTATACTATTTTTTTAAAAATGCTGCCTTAAAATATATTAGTATTTTAGAGGTTTAGGTTGTAATTATTTTTCTTCCAGCCATTTGAATGTAGGTCAGACTCTTGCTGCTCCTTGGAGCTTCTTCATATTTTCAGTTTACCTTTGGATGTTAAAACGCTGCATGGTGCTGATCTAGAGCAGCACGTGCACAGTCTGAATAGTTCACCGCATTTAAGAATCCTAATAATCAAGCATTATGTTTATATATATATATATATATATATATATATATATATATATATATATATATATATATATATATATATATATATATATATATATATATATATAGTCTTTTCAAAAAGTTTCATTTTATTTATTTCATTTGAGCTAAATTCAACTTCGCTGCCACTGAACTTCTACAGGCCAGCTGACTCGACCTTTGAACCCATTAAGTGTGCCTTTCACATGACCTGAGCCCTCTGCGGGTTTTTCAAGAAGCTTCGGAACATTAGCATAATCCATTAACAACATCCACGTTGGTCTGTATTATGCTAATTTACAACCCTGAAAAGAATAAAATAAAGAAACTTTTTTATTTTTATCTTGAAAAACAATCTCTCAAGAAAGTTTCTGCAAGCCTACACGTCGATGACGTCACGGCCTACCTGTCTGGGCAGGTGAGAGGCCCGGCGATAGCCATTAGCTCTCTTCGGATGAGTGCATTTGTTTAGTGGGTCGATTTGATCATTGTTGTCCTCCCTGATGACAGAGATGTCCAGCTATTGGCCGAGACCAGGAGGGCACGTCATCTCCATCAATCAGGGGACAGCCGCTACTCCTCTGAGGAATGTCGTCCAGCCGCCTGACCATGCGTGGCTGAGCTCATGAGAGGCCGGGCATGAACTGCTCTCCCGTCCAATGATTATGCAGGGGAAAGGTGATAATGACTTCCTATCATGAGTTAACGGCCGAAAGGGAGACCAACCCTCAGCTCACTGAGTCCTGCCGAGCAAAAGAGGTCATAAACCTGGACCTGGGAGGTGGCACTCATCCTGAACTCTGCAGTCGGCAACAGGAACAGCTACAAGGTGAAGAAGCTGCTGATTTTTTTCCTCCGTGTTTGACTCCGTGCACCCTTTCGGGCAGTCCTCCTCCTCTTCCTCATCCACCGCAGTGTGAGACTCTCGGGGGCTTCTGCTCACCGGCCTCGTCCCGCGTCCCATGGCGGTGCACCCGGGCGCACGGCTGTCCAGGACGCGCGGATCCAAACGAGATACAGCAAAACTGCTGTTTTGGGCCACTCGTGAAGGAAACTGCTCCTGTTTTAAATAGCGGCTGCAAAATTCACGGTGCCTTGGGAAGTTCTGCCGTTTCGGACTGGGAGGTAGACGCAGAGGAGGACAGAAGGAAAACTTTTGAGTGGATGAGAGTGAAAAGGAGTCAGAACCGGGCGGGTAAGTTTTTGTATGAGATCACAAAGAGTAAAGTTGACTTATTTTTCTTTAAGATGTAGCAAAAGTTTAGAGCTTATGTAAGTTTCATGCAAACCTGCTGAAGTTTAAAGTTCTTTCATGAAACAGGAAGTTTGAAAATGATGAAAATAAGCTGAGCGGTTTCATGCCTCATTCTCCCTGAAAGAAACAAACGCAATAAATACTAAAGAAAAAATAAAAACAAAGCTGCTGCAGTAACTGTTCACTTGATTTGAATATGCACATTGCAAGTCAGTTACTATTTCCTTAGCGGTTATGTAATTGAAGCTTTTTGCTCCACCCACTCCTACTGTTTCAGAGAGGGAGGGGGAGGCCTGCTGCACCCTCAACCCAGGAGGAGGGGGGGGGGGGGGGGATCAATTATTTACCTTTAGTTCCTGCTAACCAGCAGAATCTGAATAATGCAACAGACCATGCCAGTCCAGGCTCACAGGAAGTTGAGTAAAACTCACTCTGGTAAGCTGCACTGCTCCCCCGGTATTGATTAGTTGTCTGTTTGTAATGAAAGGCCCTTGTGTATTGATTTCAGTTTGAAGCACCTTTACATGTGTCCACCTTTTTAACATAATTGCTGTCACAGATCATCATTTCACTGACTGATGAGTTCTGGGCAGAGAGCCCACAGAAGAATACACATCCCAAGCTTTAAAAAAACCAATAAGTGGGAAAAAAACACCTATCAATCTTTAATTGATCCTTCTCTTGATCAATAGAGCCACAAAACAAGACAGCCACTATGAGGCAACTTTCTTGAAATCTGCAAAAACATTATGGAAACTGTTGCAATTTAAAACCCACAATTAGCTAAATTTTTAATTTAATGCAAACCTTTTATGCTTGTATGGTTGTACATGCACAAACACTGAGTTGTTTGTTAAAATGCATGATGAATGGGTGAGCTCTGATGCTGCCAAAGTGAAAGAATGTTGCAACCACACCTTTGTTTGGTCTAAAAGTCACTTTATCCATCAGACCCATTTGCTGCTCATCTGACCCGAATCCACCCGCCCACTCCCAGGAAAAGACACAGCGTTGTTTTGCATTTCTGTCTAGCCTCTCTCTGCTGCTCTCTGAAGGAGATCATCTGTAGGAGTAACTCATTAGGCTGCAGTGTAACTTGTAAAAGAATCATTAGTGAAAGTGTGCTTTCCTCTCCTGGTTGTATAGGTTCTGGCACAAAGCAATGCCTCCCTCCATGTTGAAAGGCCTCAGCAGACCTGCTGTAACCTGATCTCCCGGCTCAGTGTATATACTCCCTGTGCGTCATTCTTCAATTATGCTTTGACAGCACCTGAATTACTGTGGGCTGGATGCCCAGATGACTGAGGCAATGTGTATTGATCTATCCCTTCTCTTTTTCCCCTTCTTTAGCTCGGAAGGCTCTTTCCAGCCTTCTTGTAGGCTGGCTATTTTTAGGCATGCAAGTCATTCCTCAAATATTTAGTTTGATTCTTTTATGCCTGCTGGCTGGCATCAATTCTATTATCTTTGCAACCATTAATCAGAATGTGCATGTGATTTGCACCTCCGGAAGCGAGGCTCTTAATTACAAGCAGCTCATATGCTTTGGTTTCCTCATTCTCAGTAACACTCAGGCTCATATTAATATGTTTTAAAAGGCAGATGTTGACATCTATCCTATAACTGACCTTTCCTCGCTTCTCGGTGGCTGGAGGCCTGTTAACCTTCCCTTTCTGTGAATTGTGGTGGGAGGAATAGCTCCACACCTGTCTCCATTATGCAGAAGCAGCAGCACATTTTCTCAGAGGCAAAGCCACAATGTCAGCGATGAAAAATCAAGATATAGCTGTAGTCCCTGTCATTCACTGCACATAAGTAGCATAGATGATACTTTAATGTGTAACCCAGAAACCTCAGAGGACAAAAACGGGCAACATTTGTCATTATGCAGCATTTGAGAGGATTTGTAAACTGTTAAACTGTCATTGGTACGAAAAAAAGACCCAAAGGCAAATAACAAATGATTCAGATAAACACAGTTAATGGACTGTTAATGCTAAAAAGTTGTTGTGAAAGCCAAACATTTCCTGGACTGTGAAACACTTTTTCTCTTTAATGGCATTAGCATAAAGTGTTGCAAACAATCTCAAAGTTTAATAGTTTTTTTTTATCATTTAGCTGTGATGCTCTGGGTTGCACAGGTGTTCTGTTTGCATGATAATAACCAGCTCCTGATCAATTTGTTGAACAACTCTAGTATGATTTTCAGACGTGCCCACAGGCTCGTTTTCACAGCTTTTCTAAAATATTTCATGGTTCAACAGACAGAAATATGGCTCAAGAGTGAGATCTAACTGGCTCTGAGCCAGCTCCTACAAATCAGTTTGATCTGAGGCACGTAGAGTGCTCGGAAACATGCATCAATTAAAAGTTAGATTTATTTCATTGGGTGTGGTCAACTTGCAGAGCACTTAGATGTGGTCATGTTTGCTTTTTGAGAACTTACAGCAATATTTAAAACCAACATTTTTTTCCTGATTTATTGTTTATTTTAACTTTGTTATTTTTATTGTTCCAGATAGTTGTATCAGGTTGATTTTAGACATGTTTCTAGTTATTTTTATCAATTTCAATGCCAGCAAAACATTTTAGTACCTATTTTAATAAAAAAAAATGCTCCAAACTTTTCCTGAATATAAACAAACTAAAAATAAAATAAAACTTCAATTGTTTGAAGAAAAAAATACCAGAAATTGTTATTGCTTTATTATTATTTACCCATTATCACTTTAATTGTCATAACCCATATACCCACCATGAATAAAAACACACTTTTTAATTCATTTACTGCGATTATGTGTGGACATTAAGGAGTTAAAGGTCTCCAGATTGCTGATGATTGTATTCTGCCTCTCTTCCCAGCCAGCATGCACATGATGACCTCTGAGTTCAGTATTCTGGACTCGGAACTCGCTGGAAGCCGGTCCGTCTCCTCGGATGGCCACCAGGCCGTGAACGGGACCCCCAGAACCAGCTACAACACCAAGCAGCTGACCGAGCTGGAAAAAGAGTTCCACTTCAACAAGTATCTAACTCGGGCCAGACGCGTGGAGGTCGCCGACGCGCTCCGGCTCAGCGAGACGCAGGTGAAGGTTTGGTTTCAGAACAGACGCATGAAGCAGAAGAAGCAGCAGCAAAGGGCCGGGCTGCTGCCGGACCAGCGGGTCGCTGCTGTGCTCCCTACCCCGGACACCCACCCCTCCGCCGGACTGGGCTACCGTGAACTGCAGCCAGCGTCCGACTGAGATCTGCAAACGTTTGGATTCGCGTTTGCATCGGTCTCAATCAGGCATTACTTTATTTGTTTACCACGATGGATGCTACTCCCGAGATGCGCCATGGCGCAGACGATCTGTCATTCTGCTTGGCTTCAAACGGATTTGAATATTAAAATCCATGCCATTGCGTCGCGCTGCAGTCTACACAAATTAAACGAAGATACAAACATATTCAATTGAGCATAAAAACCTTTGGAAGGTTATTTGGTTATTTTGGACGATCCATATCTGGAGCTGAATAGACAATTATCTCATTTAAATCACGCAAATATTTATTGAAGATCAACGTTTGATATTTATTTTGTTTTTGACTTAAAATGTGACTATGTCCTTTCAGGAAGATTATTAAATATCATATACATCTGCTAAAACAAAATTAAATAGTGTTTTTCTGGCTTTTTCAGATGCACCTGCAGTTACTTATCTGGAAAAACAAATCAGTTACTTTGGCTTCTTTTGCTTTCTATTAGCTGTTTTTATAGTTTGTTACTTTTAATTATCCAAAGATTCACCAAAGAACTAAAACGTCACAACTGAAGGGAATATTCATTGATCATGAGCATCAGATGATCGATCTGTCTATTTGAGGCACTTGCACGCATCTGCATGTTAATGAGATGCAGAAAAGCCACGATCCGGAGTTGTTCTTCTGTTTTTATTACCTCATCAGAAAATTATATAAAAAAGATAATTCGGCCCGAATATCCATGAGACTGAACAGACAATAAAAAATTGTCAGATCAGATTCACTGCTTGGACCAGCAGCAGCAATTCTCCTAAATTATATAAACGGTTCTTAAACAAAAATGCATTTGATGTATTTTAAAATCTTAAGACATGATCCTTCATCCACAGGAATTCTCTTCAAGGATGCATTTCTGGATCTCTTTTTTAAATTATCTTCTTTCAATTAAATATTATTTCCCCTAAGTTCTAAATAACCCACAACAGACCCATCAAAGTTAATTAGAAATAAACAAAGATCGATTAAAATAGAATGAATAATGTAATTTTTTAACGTTTTAGGTGTTTTAATTTAAATAAATGAGTTAATGGACAGCCTTGCCTCTGCAGGGCTTGAGAGTGGACAAGGCCAAGCTAATATATGCAGCTACACCAGAGTTCAACTCTCACCTCCTGACCCTTGTCTTGCCTCAGGACAACAGTGACCCGGTCAGTGGCTCCACAGAGAAAGATGCTCCATTAATTCAGCTGACCACCAAGTCTGAGATTTTTCTTTCATTCTTTTTCTTTTTTTCTCTCAGCTCTTTTGTTCTGCTATGTTGCTTTCTGTGTCTGCTCTGCAATATTTCATCCAGCTGAATAGCAGAACGACCAGGCCAAATGATAATTTTTCATATTTTCCAGACCAGTTCAGATAAAGGTTGTTGTTTTTTATTTTTGTCTGGGCTAAACTCTTTTATTTTTTTGTTGTTATTGTTGTTTTAAAAGCAAAAAACACAAATTCACTCACAAACTGGACGCATAAGAAGGTTTTAAACTATTTTTTAAATTCAACGAAAAGATAAAATACAATTGCACGAGTCACAGATCACAACGTTTGCAACTCTTCATTAAAAACTCTCTTTTCCTCATATAGTTTTGGAAAAAGCACAACAGTTCTTACATTTTTTATATCGTTAGAACAAAACAAAAGTCCTGACCTGAAGAGGAGCAGACAGGAAGATAAGCTATTTGTTTATTTCAGTAATTGATTGAAAAACCATGCAAGGACTTGAGCGTTCCACTCAATTTCTACCAAGTTTGCATGTAAGAAAAACACACACCATTAAGACTGACTTCTCTAAACAAAACAGGACTAAGTGGAATGTTTAACAAAACTGGTTAAAATGTCCATCTTTTCCATCCTGAAGGTCACAGAAGCATCAACGACGACAGTGACGCTAAGCTAATATTACTCTAATGCTTGTAATTATAGAATTAGTTCCTCCTTTCCTGCTCAGGAGGATGTTGGAGTGACCTTATTAGAAACCTCTTCATCATCTGGGGTAGATGTTTCTTTGCCACGGGGCTCTTATGATGCACACATGGAGGATGGTCAGTACACGCCTAGGCGAGAACATACATGAGAGTATGAAGTTATCGTGATTTATAAGGCTGAGGTAAGAGGAAGAGGAGGAGGACAAGGAGAGGATTTATTTTTTAGGTGAACTATCCCTTTAATTTCACTCTGTGGCCACTTCAGCATTTGGGATTCAATGGAGGAGAGCAAAACTTCATTGTTTATTTAAGATCTGACATTTAGTTCGAAAGCATTTAAGTGTAAGACGGACGGCTGTCAGACACACACACACACACACACACACACACACACACACACACACACACACACACACACACACACAATGCACATAAACAAAAAGTTAAAAATAGCTGAAATTAAAAGTTACTTTTAGCTTTTTTTAAGAAGCCAGAAACTTTCAGCATGATAAAATCCCCTCCAGAAAACTATTTATCCAGCACATTCTTTTTAATCAACAAAAAGCACATGAATAATTAAATGATTACCATTACTTATGAGAAATAAGCCTCTTGCTTCGTCTTGTTCTGATAAAACTTTCCCGAAGACGCAACTGCATCAAAGTGAAGCTGGTGATGTATTAACGTGTGATGAACGAGCCTATTGACAGCCCCCGTTTCTTCCTGTATCCTGATATAAGTGAGCTGATGTGGGCAGCTGGTCTAATTCTCCAGAGAAGTGCTGCATGGTGGCATGAGCAATGAGCCAACGTATGCGCCACGCGGAATATCTTCTATTACATTTTAAATGAACACATATAAGTTCCTCAGCTCATTTTAATTAATGTCGGGTTGACCTAAAATTAACTTAATGCATAATATGCATGTAATATCCTCACCAGAGCTCGCAGGAGAAAAATCAATTGATCACTTGAAGTCGTTTCTAACTTAATGTGAAACACTTACAGATAGCTCAGTTGCTGTTACAACCATAGATCATTTGAATGCTCTCCTCCTTTTTTGTTTTTCTGCTTGTCTGATTTTACTGTTTTTCTTCATTTGCAAGGACTTTCATGCACTATTAGTCTTTCTGATCGGTCTATTGCACATATTTGACTACCAAACAATTTGTTCATCAAGAAAAGTTTAAATGGAGTGCACCTGTCTGTGAGAGTGAATGCCTTGTGTACAATTACACAAATATGTGTTTTGTTTCCAAGGTGCTACTAATAAAGCCCTCAAAAGGATACAAAGCACCTATTTGAATAATTGTTCACACACACACATGCTCACACACAAAGCCCATGCATAACACATTCTGGCAGAGCTGCGCTCAACAGCATGCACACCAGTCCAGTGTTTGCCTCCTCTCCTGCTACACTCCAGGGAGCAGATGTTTGGGGACAGCTTACAGCCTCAGCGAATTTCTGTGTACACAGCAAACAGCAGCACTCAGCACTCCTGGCTGCATTGGGAAATTTTCCCTCAAGGGTGTGTGTCTGTGAGTGTGTGATGGGGTGGATTTGTGAGGCGGGGTGGGGCCACTGAGTCAGAGGAAGGTATCATGAGGATGGGAGGAGAGGGGAAACGAGTGAGAGGGAGGGTGCACACAGAGGTGAAACTGTGTCAAGGTTGTAAATGTCTTGCATTGGGGGATTTATTTTTTTAAATATTAATTTCCTGAAGCTTCAGCTGTGGTGTGTTGGAATGTTATAGCAGAGCATCATGTTTGTTACACACACAGGGACATTATGGAGCTTCAGGTGGATCTGCCACACATTTGTGTCTACGTGACCTCTAGCTTGGAGTTTTGCAGCTTGGATTGACCTTTGGAATCTTGCAGACAAGCATTATTTTGAGAAACAAAAGGAGGAACAATGCAATGAACTCTTCTCGAATGTGCTGACATTGCATTTGAGACATCAGCTATAAAACAAAACTACTTTAATCATGGAGCCAACTTAATGGCGCCTTCCCTACCATGATGCCTGTGCCATCTTCCATGTGCACCATGTGGAATAATTGTAATTTTCACTCTTCCAGAGTGTTTGCAGTGCAGCTTTAGCCCTTTTGCTGCTGCACACAGACTTATGTAAATAGACAGAAAACATACACATACAGTTTTATTTTCAACATGTGTGTAGGAACACACGTTTTGACCTCTAATCATTGTATTATGATGCCTAAACAAACCGTCATAAATGAGCCCTGCAATGCTAATTTGTCTGAAAAAAGCCAACCCCTTTCTCCTCTGCCCCTGGGGTGAGGTTGCTATAGTGACAGATTCACAGACGGAGAGAGAGGAGAGAGAGAGCTAAGCTGAAAGGGGTGGAGCTGAGGAGGTGAGCTGGAGGAGGTTGCAGAGGAGACGGGTACCAGTGAGAATGCAGGGGCTGTGTCTTTTTTTGTTTGATCTGTCAGTCAGCCATCCATGACAGTCTGGGCTCAGTGAGGTAACTCAGTTCATGAACTCTTATCAATCGAGTCTGCACGAGGCGCCATCTTGGCTTCATCATTCACAGTTGAAGTAAAAATCTCTCTAATGGAGTATTATGTTAAATGGTCTGTATTTGTATTGCACTTTCTTAGGGTTCTACAACCCCCCAAGGCGCTTCACAACAAAATCAGTCATTCACTCATTGGTGGGGATGAGCAACATTGTGGCCACAGCTGCCCAGGGGCACGCTGACAGAGGCCTGCTAAACACTGGCACCACTGGTCCCTCTGACCACAGCAGGCAAGGTAGGTTAAGTGTCTTGCCCAAGGACACCGCAGCAGCACTCTCTGGACAAAGCCAGGATCAAACCTGCAACCTTCCACTTACTGGACAACCAGCTCTACCTCCTGAGCTACTACTGTCCCTGTATTACTTTCTTTTGTCACTCACAACTCTTCAGCAGCAAGAGAAGAAACTAATGATTGACCCAGATATTATCAGTCTTTCAGCCAAACTGAGGACAAATGGACCCTGACTTCTCTAAATAAACAGTACAAATGAGCAAAGGGAGAAATAAATGAAAGAAAGGAGGTGTGTTGGAAAAGAGCAACCATCTACACTGGCTGTGTTGTTATAAAATCACTTTTCCCATCAGCCTTTTTATGCAAAGACCAGGTGCTCCATCAAACCTGCAGTTTTATTTTTCATCTTCACCCCTCCCATCTCTTCTCCTCTCAAACCCTCTACCATTGAGCCATCGTTCTCCTCCTCTCCCCTCTCCTTGTGTCATTCGTCTTCCCCTTTGCCTCTCTGCTCACTCTCCAACTGATATGAGAGGGTAACCCCTGGACCCTCAGGGGTCAAGTGATACAAGGTCATTGGCAGGTCATCTCCGCTGACTGGCTGACCTCTAAGAGGACTTCTGGAAGTGGCCAATCAGATCTCGCTTCCCCTCCTCCCTAAGGCAGACCCCCCCCCCCCTCCCCAGCTCATCAGCAGCCTGTGTCACATGACCAGGGTGAGGCGTCAGAGGAAGGATGATTAATGATGCTTTTAGTACCTGTTTAGAATGAAGCTGTCCACACCACACTGTAATTACCCGCTCCCAGGCGGCAGCTGCCCAACATAATTGCTTTTTGTTTGTTGACCTGGTTTATTGAGGAGAAGATGGCTTTGGCTGGCTAAGACAGAGCAACGTACAGTATACAAAGGTGAGGATACATGTCAGGAATTTAGGTGGCAGAGTGTGGGTAAGATTTGTGCAGCTCACACAAAAATGCATGCACATGGCAGCAAAACAAATGACACGCCGCACACCAAAGAGCCTCAGGCCGCTCTGCAAAAATAAAAACACGTGATTAATAAAACAGAAGGCTCCCAGAAAAAGTCAAACACGGCCACAGACCTCGTGTGCGCGGTCGCTGCGTTACACTAAAACACACAAGTGTTTGACTTACAGCATCAAAGGGAGTACGAGCTGTCATGCATAATTTATGCCATGTCATGAAAGCAGACCTCTGTGTTGCTATGAAAATTCAAAACATAGTTCAGAAGGTCAGCAGATTACTGCAGCCCCCCTTCCCTCCCCATTTTGGCTGCATGCCTGCAGCAAATATGAAAATTTCAGTACCTGTGGCTCGGCACCACGAGGCCAATGACAATGAAACTCAGATAAACAGCCCCTGGTTTGACCTATGGAGAGCATAAATTTGCTGCACATAAATTCCTGAGGGTTTCAGCTCTGTTTGGCACATTTGCCACCAAGACTGAGAGGGGCAAGTGTCGGATATCAGTGCTTGTGTATGAGCAGCTTTCATCCTGCCCCTGGTTCTCACATAACTCAGTCCTGCAGCCTTTATCACCGCCTCATAAATAACTTGGCTATGGCCTGATAATGTCCGCTTAATGCTTAGTCAATAAAGCCCACAGTAAGAGGGGCCCTTTTTAGCCTCTCTCCTGTACATAAATATAAACATTGCAGTAGATTGATGTGATGGGCAGGCTCTTTTCACACTGGGACAAAAAGAGCAACGTGTGGGCCCAGGAGCTGAAGGTGGGCTGCGGGGCTGCAGGTGTTTAGACGAGATAGTGGGCTGTAATGACGGGGCTGTAAGAGAAAAGGCTGAGTGGATAGCCTTGACTGATCACCTGTGAAAGACACATGCACACATAGACACACAAATGATAGCACACAGACGCACACGAGCATAATCATTCACACACCAACACACACGCTAATGTCATCATTAGTTAACCTATTGGCGTCGACGTCTGCTGCACAAAAGCTCATCCTCCCCATTTGAAGGGCACCAGATAAAGAGCGAGTGATCTGCTGTGATCTGTTTTTGTATCTTGTTACATATGCAAAAGCTCTGCACGCTGCCACCACAAAATTAAAAACAAGGGTTAAACTTTCATTGTCTTTGCGGGGATTGCTATCGACTACATGCAGTGGTAATCGCAGCCCATCCAATTCCAGCGCGGCACCACGGGCAGCTGCATTCAGCGTGATGGGATCAGTGTGAGCCCTAAGAGACAGAGGAGACTGACAGGGATGTTCCTGGGTTGAATGAGGGGGCTGATTGTGATCCATGGGTTAGTCGCTGGAGAAGCACCTGGGCTTTGAGAACAGCTAGAAGAGACAGGCAGCAACACTGAAAGGTTCAAACTAAGAGTGATGACATCATCAGCTCTTACTGACAATCTCTGTGGGAGGATGTCGGAAGTTTGCTTGTTAGGTGTTTGAACACATTTCTGTCAAATAGGACTCAATGTCTAATCAGACCAAATACTTGTAATTTTTCACATTTTGTTCAAGTTTTCAAATATATAAATGTCCTTTAAAGCCTCAGTGTCTACTTGTTTATTATTAAATTCTGTGAATCCTGTTGAAAAACGTGTATTTTTTCATTAATATTTCTCGTCAATGTTTATTTTAAGTATTCCAATT